CCCCCCCCCCCCCCCCCCCCCCCCCCTCACCCCTCCACCCTCCTCACACCCCTCCCACCTCTTCCTCTCTCCAACAAGCGCATCATCCCTCCCCTCCCCCTTCTCTCTTGCTAGCGGGTTTTTCCTACAGTAGAGTGGTCTTGCTGGTTTGCAGACCAGATCCTCAACACACACACACTGTCTAGTCGAGTCTGTGACGCCACGCGTACATGAATGCGAGCAGGGGCCATCATATTGGTTGGTCTATTGGGATGGCAGCTTGGTAGTAGTGATGTTTCGTGCAAGAGAGAGAGAGAGAGAGAGGGTGCCTGCCTGCCTGCCTGCCTGGGCATATATGCACACAAGCACGCGCTGGCTGGTTTGCCGCCACCCCCAGTCTCACTCCAACGGCGAATTCGTATCCTTGTCGTGTTTTCTTCCCAATGCCTTGTTCTCCCCCTTGTCCTCGCTCGTCAGTTTGGTGGACGGCATGACACGCCGGCAGGCACAACGACCGCATGTTGTGGCTGGCAGCGTCTCGCGTTGTTGACCTGGCTGGCAGAAAAGGACAAGAGAAACGGGGAGATGGAACGAGTGCGGAAAATGTGTCATCCGTGAGGAAAACGTGTGAGTGATCGGAAAGAGAAGAAAAGAATCATCAAGATGGGATGATGGGGGGCCGGGTGGCTTTGCACACTCTGCTCTCTCCTGTCTCGCTGTGCGTGTCGTGGGTGCATGAATGCATTATTGTGACAATTTTCCTGACACACATACAGACACACATGCGTTCAAGCACTCATTCCATCTGCACGTCTGGAACACACCATGAGGCCAAAGCCGACCCACATAGGAGTGAGTACTCTGACAAATCGAGTCGCCATGCTGTGTGTGCGGCATCTTTGCCTTTGTTGTGAGTGGATGCACTTATTGGGCGGCTGTTCATTTTTGGCTGCGCGCGGGCATGCCCTGCATGTGATGCGGCCGACTGTATCATTGGCCCATTCAAGAAATCACTCATAGAAACATCCACAGCTCCAACAGGTCCATGCCTATGGAAGGCATGCAGCTGCCCTTGCCGGCTGTCCGGCTGGCTAGCTGGCTGTCTGTCGTTCACTCGGGGCTCATGCACAGTGTTCGGCATCATCTCTACTTGTCGAGCCTCTGTCCAGCGAAGCGCTTGCTGCACACAGACAGACAGCCATCAACCAGCACACCCAACATCCATCCACCGATCGAAGCTTGTGTTGTCTGTTGAGAGTGAGTGTGACCTGTTGTGTGGCTGGGAAATGTCTTGGGGTGTTGCCGCCTCATCAAACGGCCCCCTCTTGCGCCCTCGACCGCCGCCCACCGCACCGCCAGCCACCGAATCTGACACACAACACACACTCATCCTGTGCACGCCACCCAGTGTGTAATGATTGATTGCCCCACACACACTCACCGAGTTCCCCATCGGCCATCTGCACGTCGTCCTGGTCGGACCCGCCACTGACACCATCACCACCACCAACACCAGCAGCGGTGGCAGCACCAGCAGCACCAGCAGCAGCAGCAGCGGTGGTCCCCTGGCACACACAGGGACACACAAAAGAGCATATAGGGACACCAATGCAGTGAGGACGTTCAGTCTGCTTACCATGTCTGGTGAGGGCTGGGTGGGTGGGTGTTGTTCGTCTGCAGACCGGCCGCCATCCTCACCACCACCACCGCCACCACCTGAGCGCAAACACAACCAAAAAATTCGCTTGGTCCCCGCCCGTCTCCTTTCCTCCCATGCTGGTACGAACCAGTAGCTATCGCCTCGTTGAGCTGCGGGATCAGCCATGCATCGCCGCCCATCAGCGTCCGAGCCAGCAGCGCCGCCTGGGGTCTGCCCGCAACACCTCTGCCGCCGCCCTGGGGCTCCTCGTTGCTGAAGAGCTCGATGTATGTCTTTCCTCCACCCTCATTCTGGTGCATCCAGATGTATGCCGCAAATGCATCGTCAGGTTTGTCGCCGCACACGACGACCCGTCGGCGTGTGAAGCGCCGAAGGTCGGTGCAGTCTAGGGTGCGGCCGCTCCACACTGGCGTCGGCTGGCCGATGAGCACATCGATGCGAAGTGAGGCAGCAGAGGAGGGATAATGTTCGGCACCTGCCACACAACGGAGCCCTTGTAGCCGAACGAGAAAGCTGCAAGGGTAAGGGAGAGAGGCCATGCAGGGAAGGCGACACGTTGCCGTTTTGTGTTTGTACGTATGTGTTGGTTGAAGACGTACCACTTCGCCACCAATTCGCGGAAGCTGCGGTGCGCAAGACCTAAGACTACACAGAGGATGACCGACAGAGGTGCAAAAGGAAACGTCAAGCAGATGAATGTGCAAGTCTTTTGACAACTTCATCCATCTCACAGTCGCAGGCAGGGTCGTTGGGATCGAAGGTATCTCTGTAGTCTTCCGGCACACTCCAGAAGGTATTTCTGTGGTCGGCCGGCTCCTGAGTATACACCCTCACCCTTGTCCCACCCAGCCACTCCACCCCTTCCACCCGTCTCAGCCCCCATCCCAGGAGATGGCCAAACAGGCCATACTGCCGCATACTCGCCGCCCGGCTGTCGATGTCTGCCTGGCTGCCCGCACACCCCACGTCGCCCTCGTCCAGCTGCAGGGGCAGCTGCTGGATGCGCCGACAGTTCTTGGCCAGGCGGAGCAGCGGCACACTACCCGCCCAGTCGCCCCCCAGCTCCAGCACGTGCCGCAGGCGGATCAACCGAAACACGCGACGGCGGCTGGTGGACTGACGGAGTGGCTGGTAGTCGATGACGCCCGTCAGTCCCTTGCGCTCGATGAGGTCGTCGATGACGGACGTCACGGCGGTCTCGATAGCGCTGCTGTCTGCGTGTGATGTGCGGATCAATGTGTTGCTAGTCTGGGCGAAGGTGGCGGCCTCCTTGCCCTCCGCCCCCATCCATCCGGCGAGTGTGTGGTGGAGCTCGGGCGGCAGGCCGCACAGCCGTTGCACGAACAAGTGTGGGTCGGGGTTGACGGCACCACCACCACCACCAGCAGCAGCAGACGACGATGGCGATGTAGTATCGGAGCTCTCGGCGCCGACCTGAGCCTGCAGACACCAACACCACCAACACAGCAACACAGCAACACACGCACACACACACACACACACACAGAGCCGCATAGTGACGGCGAAGGCCGAACAAGGCCACGTATAGTGTGTACCTTTTTCTCATGTGACTTGGTGTTGTTGTTGGCTGGAGGACGAAGCGCAAATAACTTCAAGTTGCCCTCCAGCTGCCACACACAGACTCGCGGAGGGAGAGATTGGTTGACAGTGTGCATACAGCATCCATCCATCGTTGCGTACCAGTGCCAGGCCCTTCACACGCGACACAGCCGACTTGTAGGCCTCTATCGATGTGGAGAGGTCCGACAGCGCCCCTTTGGCAATCTCCACTCGAGACGCACTCATGGGCGACTCCTGCACACACATATACGAGCGTCAGACAACGCACACACGCACTTCTCGACACGCCCCTCCCCATCTCACCTTGGTCTTCCTCAACAGGAACTCGAGTGCCTCATGCGGCCTCTGCATACACACACAAAGGGCGAGAGATAGGCGACTGCTGAATTGTTTGTGCCGCACGAGACCTACCTTGCAGAGCTGTCCTTGTAGGCTGGTGAATTGGTCGCAGATGTTACGCAGCAAACTCTGCACACACAAGAGGCGGCGCCATCATTCGGTGATGAGTGTGTGGTTGGAAGCCTTGTTTGCGAGTGACTGACCGACTGATCTGTCTGGGCGTCGCTGCCATGCAAAACGCCACCCCCAGCGGCTGACACACACATCGCATGAGCTGTCATATATGTGAGTCGTGCTGCACTGCCCGCATCCGCCTCACCTGCAGCCGGCGGCTGTTCGTTCATCATGATGCCGTCACTAACACACAACCGCAACACACACCTGCACAGATCAAACACACAGATGAGATATGGTCGATGGATGGGCCGGCCGTCATCTCATTTGCTCACCAGCCAGTCAGTCGTCCAGTCAGTGGTTCTCCAAGCTACCTACCAAGTCAACAATCGCCGACCAATCTGCGCCACTCAGGAAAGCCTCCATCCAGCAGAGTGCTCGTCATGTTGCCGCACGCATGTGCCAACGAGTGTCACCCACCTGATGCCGAATGGCTGATGAACGCGAGTAGAAGTGCGCAGTAGCAATTTGCGCAGTAGAAGTGCGATGTCTGTCTGCACCAGCAGCAGACAGGAGGCACTCGTGAACCAATGAATGCGGCTGAACCTGGTGTACTGCAACACACCGCTTTGGCTTTTGACAAGCTCGCATTCCGATGTAAATTTTCAGGCTAGCCTGATTGGTTTCTCAACAGCTCCATCGCAGCCATGACAGCCACGAGTTTAGAGGCTGCCCTGGCTCATGTGTTCCGCGCCAGCCCCGAGCTGGAGCAGCACGAGAGTCCCATCCGTCGGTGCCTGCAGTGGGTAACGGTAGAGGACCCAACGTTTGTCGCGGCGCTGAGGAAGGAGGGCGTGCCTGAGCAGCTGGCCAGCCAGCTGCGCACGGCACTCAATCGTTTTGGGAGCGGTCGGCGGCTCAGGCGCCACCAATCGGCGCCAAACGTACAACCGCCGCTGCGTGACGAAGCTGATGGAACTGACGTAGGGAAACGGGGTGGTTGGTTGGCACGCATACGCATCCTCCGATTCTCTTCTCTCTCTCTCTCTCTCTCTCTCTCCGTATATATGGTCTCCGTGCCTGCAGATATCGAATGTCAACTCACCCGATCTGGCCATTGGTGTCCGCTGCCCGGTGAGCACACACTCAAATGAGAGCCACAGGAGGGCTGCTGACGTGCCTGCCCTGCTTTTCCTGCTCTTCTGACAGTGTCGGCATCACCCGTCGAGCTCTTCTCGGGTGCGTCGCGGCGATTTCGCTCCGCCGCGTGCGTTCTCTCCCGTTGGCGTCCTGTCACCATCGTGCAAATCGCCTCCATCCAAGAAGTAAGACTCACCCATCCAGAGATGCTAGGGAGGCTTCCTCGCCGCACGCACACACACACAATTCCTCTCTCCATGTGTTCCCATTTGTCTTCTCCTCCGTCCCCATGCAGGCAAGACATCCGCCCGTCGCCCGTGAACAACAGGCCGCGATACTCGGCACCACCCAAGCGCAGCGGCTACCAGGCTCCTGTGGCGGCGCCGGCAGCAGCAGCAGCTGCTGCTGCCGCTTTGCCACAATACGATGGCGGGATGGGAATGGACATAGAGGAGGGCATGGCCATACATGAGGAGTTCATGGGCGGTATGGGGCATATGTATGGTGGCGACGAGGGGAAACGGGACAGTAGCTCACCACAGACGCCGTTTGGCTTTCACCAGATGGACAAGTGAGTGGATGAGCTGGGAGAGGTGCACTGCAAGCCGCTTTTTGTCTGTTTGATTGATGTTCTTTTGCTCATCTTCTTGTCTTCAGTGCCCGTCCTGGTGGTGGTGGTGTGCCTCATCTGCCGCAGGTCCAGATGAAGGAGGCAGAGCACGCTGGTTTGAGAGGGTGGCCGCGCATCAGCCCCAAAACGGTTAGTGCAGCAGGAAAGAACCAAGACAAAAGCGTGCAAACAACACAAGGCGGCGGATCATCCCTCCCTCCCTCCCTTTCTTCCTCCATCCCCCCGTTTCTGTTTGTGTGTCAGTTGGCGGGCTTGCTGCAGGGTGACTTCGACCACAAAGGCTTCTCGGGCTGGACCATCCTCGATGCTCGCTGGAAGGCTGAGTACGACGGTAAAGAGAGAAAAACCATGTGGCACCCGACAGCCCTTCATGCTGGATGCTGGTGTGTCGGCAGCGGGGCACATCCGCAACGCCGTGCACGCCAGGACCAATGCTGAGGTCATAGATGCGCTGTGGGATAAGAATGGACAGCCCCTTCGTGACAACAAGCACGTAAGACCGCCACACAGACCTTTGCGAGTGCACACATGTATCTGTGCCGCATGGTCGTGTGCCTACATGCGCGTGCATGTGTGTCAGCTGGTGATCATCCATTGCGAGTTTTCGCAGGAGCGCGGCCCCAACCTGATGAAAGCCATAACCGACTACCGTGACAACTACGGCAGCTCAGTAAGGCCACACGTTCACCCAGAGAACAACAGCATGCAGGGCATCTTGATGCTCTCTCTCTCTCTCTCTGTGGGTCTGTCTGCAGGAGGACTATCCGATCATGTACGTGTTGGATGGTGGTTACAGGGCGTTCTGGCACCATGCACAGGCGGTCGACAGCACACAGATACTCTGTGACGGGCAGTACAAAAAGGAAGACGCCCTCACGCAGGACGAGGTACACCCCATCCACCACTACCGCCAGCAAGGGCACACACACAAACAAACAGACGAAGGAAAGAGATGCGTCAAGACACTCCGTGTCCGCTTCTTTGTCCATCAGTTGGAGGCGGCTCACCAGGAGCGCATCGACCGCGACCCGGCGAAGCACCGAGAGCTCGAGAAGAGGACACGTCTACGTCGCAGTGCCACGCCCGACGCCGACAGACCTCCCCCACCCGCATTCGGTCCCCCGCTCGGAGCGGCGGCCGTCGCTGAGCAGATGGGCGTCCATCCGGTCAGGTTCAAGAGCATCTCTCCAGCCAACTCGTCGCCAGACCAGCAGGATGACAGAAACGCCGCCCGGGAGAACAAGAAGGCAGAGGGCGCCAAGAAGCCGACGTCTCGGCCTGCCCTGCGTCCTGCCGCTGGCGCTGCTGCTGCTGCTGCTGCACCGAGCGAAAGGGCACCTCACCCATTCCTCAGGAGTGGGACGGGCTGGGGAGGCAACCCGGGGCGGACCGACAGTAGCCAGGGTGGAGGGCGGTCACGGCAGGGCGCGTCACAGTTCAGTCGGGCTGGGGCTGGAGAACAGAGGGGCGGGAAGCGCCAGAACCAGAAGAAGAACAAGTAGGGGAGGGCAATGGGAGTGCATGACCACGTGGCTACTGACTAAATGCATGCTGACTGACTTGACGTCATGAGTTCGACCGAGAGTATTCATTCGGGCCGTTTGGAGCCAAACGTGTGAAACCTTCAAGTTGTTCGCGCAATGCTTCCTCCGCCTGGTCCAGGGCCGCCCCCGCCCGCCACAGCCCCTCCCGCATACGAGGATGAGTGGTCCGCGCCTCAGCAAGCGCCCTTTCCCCAGACAGCACAGCCATTCAATCCGGCGTCTCCCTACCAACTGCCGCAGCAGGGGGGATTTGGAGGAGGTGGCCAAGGACAGGCTCCTCCCTTCCTTGTTGTCGTACAGCAGCAGCAGCCCGGACCTGGGCCGTCTGCTCCCCCGAAGCCGCCCTCTGAGTATCAGTATCAGAGTCACTCGCCTTATGGCTCACCAAGTCTGCAGCCACAGGTGCAGCCAGCTGTGATTGGCTCGCCGTCTCCCTTCCAGCCTCCCCCGCCCGCTGCGGCCCACCACACATCACCAACCATTGGCGGACTGCCACCAAAGGCGCACAAAAGGTCGCACGGCGGGGAGGGAGGCCAGGCGTGCTCGTGCGCTGCGCACATCGGTCTCTCTCTCTCTCTCTCTGTGTGTGTGTGTGTGTGTGGTGCATCAGGTGGCGGCCGATTCTCTTCATGCTGGGCGGTGTATGTGTGGTGATTGTCATCATATTGATTGTCGTTGGTGTCGCTACTGGCATTCTGAAATCATCTCCAGGCAAGCGAGAGAGAGGAGACAAACGACAGGAGATGAGCACAACGCAATTTGTGTGAGTCTTTGTGTGAGGACAGATGCTGGTGTCACGAGGACGGCGGAGACTCGGAGATGCACCAGTGGGTGGAACATTCAGAGCGTCAGATATGAAGTCACGGGCAGCCCAAGTGAGCCCAGACATATGACACCAACCAACAGAAGACGAATTCATGCCCTGGATGTTCAGGGGGATGGGTGGTTATGTATGGACGGCAGTCGGCCAACCTGTGGGACAATGTGCTGGGGGGCAACAAAGGAGGAGGTACACGCACACACGCACCCGTAGTTTTAACATGCAGGGGGGGGG